CGCAACAATTGGTATCAAAACTTCAAGGTGGTGGTTTTGGCTCGTGAAACATACCAAAAAGGTCCAGAAATTGCACTAGAAATCAAATCGAAGAAGCTGTCCAAAAACTGTCAAAATTAGTCTCCATTTTTTGCATTTTTTGATCAATCCAGAAGGAGTTTGGGGAAACGGAGACCACTGGCATGACGTATAGGAGGAGACAAACCCTGCAGGGTAATAGGTGTCGGTCGACGACGGCGCGTGTGGTGGCGCGTGAGGCCCACGCACAGAGGAAAGAACCAGCGTGTGAGGGTGCGTGAGATTGAATTTCGAAGAGGTCCCTTCAGACAGTTTGTTCCTCATATTATTTCTGACATTTCTCGTGTTGAAATTTTTCTGTTTCAAGGTACACAGTAGAATCTGGACTGCGTTGTTCTTCGGGCATTCGGGACTCGATTGTGATTTTTTGGTTGCTACAATTTCTAGAGACTTTAGGATGAATAGTGGTGGTCCTTTAAGTGATAAATTCGCATCTCTCGTAATTTACGAACTCAGATAGGTCCGTTCTGGTATATTGGCTTGACTCAGTTTAAATTTTAGCATTAGCAGATCATCGTGTGGGGTGATTTTAGGATTGATGATTGTCATTGCTTGGAAACCATTGCTTGTGCTAGAAAGTTTAGAAATTATTTGCTCTATTTTGAAGTGTTAAACTTTGATTGCAAGTTGGTAGTTGATTTTGTGCTTATCTGTCATATAGTCACTATGTGAGACTTGTTGCATGAAAATTTGGAATTTTTGTTTATATACCTTCGTGTTTGCATTAATTATCCAATTAGAACACATGGACTTGACCTGTTCGAACATTCCCTTGATCTAAGATCGTGAATCTTACGAAATCTTGGGAATCTAAAACGGTGTATATTACGACTTTAGGATTACTTTGTGTGACCTATTTGTGACTTGGTTGTTCTGTTTTTTGTTTTCTCATTAAAAATGTTTTCACACTTTGAATTTGGAATTTTTAATGGGAAATGAGATTTTTCAATTTGGCAACAAAAGATGAAGGGTATTTTGGTCCAACAAAAAGTTTCAAAGGCCATAGATGGCAAATTTCCTGCAAATTTAATAGAAGTACAAAAAGAAGAGTGTGATGAACTTGTATACACTTCAATTATTTTACACCTGTCTGATACTGTTTTGAGAAAAGTAAAAAAACTAAATTCTACAAAACAACTTTGGGAAAAGTTGGAGGACTTATATTTGCTTAAATCAGCTCCTAATAAATTGTACTTGCTTGAACATTTTTTCAGCTTTAAAATGAATCCTTCAAACGATCTTGATGACAATCTGGATGTCTTTAACAAGTTAGTTGAAGACATCGTTAATTGTGATGAAGAGGTATCTGAAACGTATAAGGTTATTATTCTGCTTAATTTCATGCCTGATTCATATAGGGAAGTTAAGAATGTAATTAAGTATGGTAGAGACATCTTAACACCCTAGATTGTCATAGACTCACTTAGAAGTAAGGAGATAGAAATTAAGACTGAAAAAGAGGATAAGAGGAGTGACGAGTTACATATGATGAGAAGTGGAATGAAGTTTAAGCAGATGAATTTGGGTAGAACTCAGAATGGCAGTGATTCGAGTAGTGACTCGAGTGATGAGGGTAGTAAGAAGAAGGGCAAGGGACGAAACAAGTCTAGTGGTAGAAGGTGTTATAATTGTGGTAAGTCTAGACACTTTATTAGGGACTGTCCCAAGAAGAAAGATAAGCTGAAGGGTAAGATGAGAGGTGAGACGAATTTAGTTGAGGGGTCGAGTTATGACCCCAGTGAAGTTTATTAAGTGTAAACCAAGTCACTGCATATGCATCTGTGTGTGATCATTTTCTACATGTGTGTGATTGTCTAAATTTTTTTGCATGATTATTTGCTACATCTCAATGTATTTGATATGTACATTTGCATAAATTTGAGACATTAGGATTACTTGGTGTAATTACTTGCATTCATAGTGTGTTAGGATGCATTAGCAGTGTGTTGTGTGCCTTTTGGTAAAGTCGGGTATAGATGCCTAGGGGTACATGGTGGTTTGTACCGGGGATGTGGAGTGTGGCATTTGGATCACGAGTGGAGATGTGATCAAATGTCTTGAATTCGTTATATGGAAAGAGACCCTGATCAGGTGGAGTGTGAGAGAGACGCTTCTATCACTTCTGTTAGGTGAAGATCCATTATCCACGTAGGTTGGGAGAAGTGATGTGGAGATAGAGGATTATCCCGTGGATTTAGGATCTATTGTGACTTGCTAGTTAGATATGAGTTGGATGATCTGTCTAGTGAGCTTGGTGGACGATGAGGGGAGATATGTGTTCTCGAGGTGTGAGTAACACGGAATGGGATAGGATAAGTGTGGTGAGATCTTTTCTTAGGGTCATTTATGCATGTGTTGCAAATGTGGTTGACCGTGGTTTGATTGACTTGGTGTTAATCTATGGTTCTATGTGAACGTGTTTTTGAAAAGATCTGTCTGTGTTATTCTATAGTATATCATCATCGCACGTGTATTTACTCTTGATTATTTACTGTTAAATATTTGCTTCTACTTGGATTTTTTGACCTTAGCCCCAGTGAGTACATGAAGCAAGTATGGTATGTATTTCAAGTTGGAAACACGAGGTAAGGTCTGTGATCCAATTTTATTGGCTACCTTGATTATGTAAGTGCTAACTGTGTCTTTTGATTGTTTGCGGATTTATTGGGCATCAATGTGGAGATTTGTTGGGTTTTTGATACCCAATAAATCCCGGGTTATGATGTTAATGTGGATTAATATTATTTCATAGACATAGGCCGATGAATGAAATTAGTCCAACAACTAAGTCCATGAGCTACACCCGGTCCAATTGTATTTCCTTATGGATGGCTTGAATCTTGACCCGTTTACCCCTTTAATGGTCCAACTTAAAGCCTAATCCTAGAGTATATATTTGGCTACAACCCTTGCCACTTTCTAATGATGTATTGTGTGATTTTGAGAGAAGAAAGGGAGAATCCCGGCTGCCCCCCTTTGTGTGAGAAAAAAGACCTCCAGAAGTTTCCAGAACGCTGGTATAACGTATGCAATTGGTGATTCCTTCATAGTATACTTTTGTGGTGTCTTATCCTAGCCTTTGTGACCATAAATCATCATCCTTTCTTGTCCTATGTGGGTAAGATTGAATAGCAACCGAGGTGAATCAATTGGTTATGGTTTGGAGCCGATTGGACTGGTTGTTGGTTGAGAAAGGTGCGTTGGACTGAACCCGAAAATCACCGATTTAAAGATCTTTCAAGAGAGCTTACGCAACAGCTTCTAATGAAGCCTATGAATATTATTTCGACCCGACTAATCATTATAGCCCTGAGTTTATTTAGTATCAAAGTACCTAACAATGGTTTGAATCTAAGAATAGATCTAACCCCCATGTTACCTTCGTTCAACTAGTGATTTACTTTTGTAAGTCATAATCACTTATTTCATTTTTAAATTAGAGGCTTAGTGATTAATCATTGAAAACAAACTTTTAGTTTAATGCTTTTGATTTGAAAAATTCTCATTTTTATGGTGGCTTAAATTTCACTCAAAAGTTTTTGAAACTAACAACCACTAGCAAGGCTGCAGGTTCAATCTTAATTTTTAAGTTAGCTTTTTTGCTTATAATTAATGCCTTGATTTAAGCTGCATCAAAGTGATAGCACATTAAATTTCAAAGGTTTAATTATCTATTTGCCTTTGACATAACATTTTCTCTTTAACTTTAATAAAGCCTTTGCGAAAAAATAACACGAGTCCAATCGAGAGGGGCTCTTTTTCTTTTTTAATAATTTGCAAATTATATATTTATAAGCGTAATAAACTCGCACAAAATATAAGTTAATGTTAAGTATTTCTTTTAAATTCAAAGAAGCACAAAATATAAGTTAATGTTAAGTATTTCTTTTAAATTCAAAGAAGTCATTTCAAGTTTTATTTATAAAAACTTATCCTAAGATTTGAAACTTAGCAAGTGAAAAATCTAACTAAAATAATTTTCTTTTGAATAAAATTAATTGTAGGAAGTTCCATTACAACATTGTATAACATAGTATTATGATTTCAACGTATAATCATACACATATCTAAAATAGTTTATTTGGAAATTTGTGATTCTTGTTAAAGAAATTCCATAGAAATATTAGAGCCGACAGCATAAATAGAATGGCTTTGTCATTAAAAACGTGGTAATATATAAATAAAGTTTAAATTATGATATAAATGTAAAACTAATAAATCAAATTTAGTAAAAAATTTTAATTTCAATATAACTATAGAAGAAAGAAACAAATTTTAAAAGTTCAGTTCGGTTCAATTTTGTGTATTCTTAATCATCGTGGTTAGTTTGCTCGACTATTATAGTTAGGTCAAACATTTGCTTCCATGGATTCACGTCAATAGTGGTGGTTGTTCAACTAAAGATAGATCAAATAGTTGATCGACTCTTTTGAAAAATAAATAAAAATTGCAAATATCATACATGTACCACTTTATTGGTAGGATAATTATATTCACACCATACTTATTACGCTTTAATTAAAATGAATATTCGTAATCTTTGCTCATTTTCTCACTTATGTCTCCTACCTTTCTATCACATTCTTATCTTCTACTTTCTTTAAATTTGCATATCTTGCCTTTGTTGATAGTTTGTCCATAAAAATAATTAGGGAGGTATAAAAAACTTATTTACCTCTCATATTTAAAATAAGCTAAATAAATAAACATATAAAAATTTGACAAAATATTTTTCCTCATTTCAATGTACGGCAACAAAAATATTTGGATAAAAATCGTCATGAGAGATGAGATATTCTAGTTTAATTTAATGCCAAAATGAGTGAACTTGAGAAATTTTATTTTAATTAAAACATGGTATAGATAATAAAAATTGTGTTATTATAATTCCCTTGATGGTAAGAAAATTATCTTCCTAAAATTTCTATTTTACCATACACCCACCCACACACCTGCATGCACCACCAAATTATAATGTATGGAAAAAGGAAAATTTGTAGCAAAGGTCTTCGCCTTTTCAAAAAAATGCAATGCGGTCTTAAACCTTTAAATTATAACAAATACGTTTCAAGATTTTCAAAATGGGCGATAGAAGGATCTCTAGATGTTTTTGTTCAAATAATCATTAATTGACCAAAAGTCAATAATTTAATCTTAATTTGTCCAATTTTAAAATGAAAAAAAAAAAAAAAGCATCTTAACATTTTTCCTTAAAACAATTAAAATAAGAAAACAATTAATATTTGATTAACACAAAAATTATGTAGATCTTTTTCTGCGCTTATCTCATCGCCACCCCAACCATAGCACCACCGCAACCTGATAATAGCGTGGGCTTAAAAATGTAGATACAAGATGCAAAGAGAGACCGTCGGGTTCGGATGTAGGGGGGACTGGACTGGGCTATAGTCCTCCCAAGGCCCAAGAATATATATATTCTTAGATCCAATTCTGGATCCGTTCCTCCCACCGCCATGGATGCAAAACTCCTGTTGCATATGCAAGACAAACCATCTATTTCCCTCTTCACAAAGTTGTGAAGGTTCGACTTGACAAGATACGAGTTCTATTTTTCCCTACTCGACCCAACTCAGAGAAAGAATCCTCACAACCTTCACATAGTATGAGCATCAACAACAATCTTAAAAAAGCTTTATCAAAGAAATGAAGGTGCTTAAGTTTTGCTTAAACTTCAATGATCATTAGTTAAAATTTTCCTAATGCACACGCACGCAAAAAGTTGAGTACAGATAATAGTTGTAGCAGAAGGGCTATTGTTTTTGTGGATGGTGAAATCACAGGCAAATAGAGAAAGGGCAACCACCTTTAGATTCGGATCAACAAAGAGGGACAACCATCATTTGGATCTAATTTAGCCACAATAATATATCAAGCTGTGGTGGTGGTTGATGAAGAAGATTGTTTTCTTTTTTCCTTCTCTTGTTTTCTGCTTTTCTTTTTAATTATTAAAATTAATTAAATGTTAAAGTCTATTTTTTCCTTCACTCAGCCCATGTTTGACTGGTGCAGATGTTTCACAAGTTTCTTATGCTGTTGGTACTGACTCAAGAATTGGTCCCAAGTTCCTTAATGCTAGTGTTGGTTTCGGTGGTTCTTGCTTTCAGAAGGACATCCTTAACTTGGTTTACATTTGCGAGTGCAATGGTCTTCCTGAGGTGGCAGAATACTGGAAACAGGTCATTAAGATTAATGACTATCAGAAGACCCGTTTTGTGAACCGTGTTGTTGCCTCTATGTTCAACACAGTCGCTAACAAGAAAGTCGCCATCTTAGGTTTTGCTTTCAAGAAGGATACTGGTGATACCAGAGAAACCCCTGCTATCGATGTTTGCAAAGGACTTTTGGGCGACAAAGCTCGATTGAGCATTTATGATCCTCAGGTTACCGAAGACCAGATCCAGAGGGACCTTACAATGAACAAGTTCGACTGGGACCATCCTCTCCATCTGCAGCCCATGAGCCCCTCCACAGTAAAGCAAGTAAGCGTCGTTTGGGATGCCTATGAGGCAACTAAAGATGCACACGCTGTTTGCATTCTCACTGAGTGGGATGAATTTAAGTCTCTTGATTTCCAGAGGATATACGAGAACATGCAGAAACCCGCATTCATCTTTGATGGAAGGAACGTCGTCAATGCGGGCCAACTGAGGGAAATTGGCTTTATTGTGTACTCAATCGGCAAACCACTGGATGCCTGGCTCAAAGACATGCCTGCTGTTGCATAAATTCGTTTCTTCGGTTGTCTTCGTGTTGGGACCAAAGAGTGTCAGCTATCTAGTCTGAATTTCGAAATTTATGTTTCCTCTTACCAGTATTTATGATACTGCTATCTCTCATTTACTTCAAGGACCTGAATTTCTTCTTTTGTTTGGCTTATAAGCTGATAAGTTTTAGCTACATTTTTTTGTCTCATTATTTTATGAAATCTATATGTTGTGGAACTGATCAACTTTACCTGGTTGGGTTTGAAAGTTATTATTATTATTATTTTAAATAAGTTTTGTTAGGTGACAAAGTAGTTTGGCAAAATCCGTTACTTGAAAGTAAAAATTTGATTCAATTTTAATAAAAGTTAAACTGGATGCAATATAATTTAGAGAGAATCTACCATAAAACTTTTATAAAATAATAATTTGGGGATTGAGAAAAATTATTACTTTATAGGAAGTATTAATTTATTGATATATTGATAATGAAGTTATTTTTTGTCAACTCTACAAAAACGTGATATATGGCTAATACATTTTCGAATATCTTAGCGAAAATTATATTATAAAGAGATGTCTATTTACAAATGGATTAGCTTAAGTGGTGTTGAATACACTTAACGATGATGTTCATGATTTAGATAATATTTTACTACCTATTCCCACAAAGGAAGCATTTCGAGCAACATTATATATAATACAAAAGATCAAGTAGCTCAAGTTTTATGAGACAAAGGGAAAATTTTTCCTTTTTTATTTTTATTTATTTATTTTTATTTTATTAATTGGGTTTGAGACGAGCAGTACTAATAAGAGCGAGGTCTTAGGTCAGTAACCTTGGACGAAGGGTGCAAATATACAAACTTTCTTGAGGAGGATTCCATTGGAGACGTGGACCTGTCCGTCTAGCATGACTTACTATTTTAACATTTTTCACTGCCAGATTTGGAGTGATTTGATCTTATTGTGGGCCATTTGGAGTGAGAGGAACCATGTATATTATGGAAGGTTTCTAGGCGTGCGGTTAGAGGATTACTCAAGACGTTCGAGCATCGCACGGTGGTTCAATATAAATTAACCTAAGATGAGTTGGTCTTGGACGATTTAAGTTTAATGTGGATGCAGCTTTTCATGCTTCAAACAATTTTGTGGAAGTGGTCAATGGCAGCTTTGGTACGATCCTTGTGGCTGGTTCTCGAAGTTTTTACCCAAAGGTAGTGGAATATATTGCACTCCGTTATGAGTTATGACTTGCAATTCGCTTGGGACAACAAATTGGACATCGGAAGGTTGAGAATCAAGGGAATTTGGGGATTAAATTCGGAAGTTTCAAATAGGGTAAATATGATCATGGAAATGTCCTTGAATCAAGGGCTAAAATTAAGAGATTGAAGAAAGGGTATGATACTTATCAAAAGGATTGTAAAAATAGAATAATGTTATTTGCGTTGCTCACTATCACAGTCACCCAACGTGACATACATATAGCGTTCGAAATTTGATGTATAAGACAATAAAAAAAAACTACCATATTAATGCATTAGCTTACTAACCACCACATATATGTCACGTAAAGCGATTATGATAGTGAGTAACTGTAAATATCATTACTCGTAAAGAAGTTTGATAACTATGAATTTCTAGTCACTCCAAAAGATCAAATAGCTAAACCTACGTTTATTAGCGTAAAAGCTGGTGCAAACAATTGTCTATTGATCAATAAAATACTTCTTCTATGCTTCCATCATTCGATTTTTGACAAATGTATCAATTCTAGACAAAGATATCATAAATATTATATGAAAATAAAGCATAAACCACGAACTTCGACGATATGGAAGCCTAAATACTGACCAAATTTGTCTCTTAGATAAAGGTTTAATGATCTCCAGATTGCAAGTTCTATTCGAAGTAAAGTTGTAAACTTTTAAACTTGATATATATATTATTCAAGCATTTATAAGGCTTACTAAGAAATTCAGGAATTCCACAGCTATTCCTAAATTTTCGAAATAACAGCACCAAAATTCGAAATTGCAGCTGAGAATCTCATCCAAAAGCTAGGACTTTAAATCACATACATATTAAAACCTAGTTAGTTAAACAATTTGTCTCAATTATTCGTTTAAGCCAGAATACGCAGTTAATAAGAACTTCCTGCAAGCAGTTTTATACACAGTTCTGATTGGGTCAACTTAATAAATTCGTGTTCTACAAGATACAATCTATTGTGGAATTAAATAAAGACAAATATCATATATAACGTGGAAAACCCCTAAAGGAAATATCCATAGGCCCTATGCCGTAGGTAAAATAATCCATCATCAAATATTAAAAAATACCATAGTTTTGATTTAGCAATTTCACAAAATTAAATAAAACAATCAAAAGTTAATGAAGAACAACTCTCTCGCTTTTTATTACATTTGATTTGTTGAAGAAGTGGAATCGAACCCTAGTTTTCTCAAAGCATTGATTCGTTTCTTAATGATTTTCTTTACTTATATAAAAATTCCTCTAAGGTACGAACGTGTCTTACCTAAAATATGAAAGTATTGCACCATAAGAAAAATATATATATATATATATATATATATATATGGTCCATAATTAAATTATGGAAAGTTTTTAATCTTTCCTTCTTTTAATTATTTGATCAATCAAACCAGTTCAAGATAATAAATATATATTTCTGTTATATGCTGCTATATGCAGTAGTGAATTCAGGATTAGAGTTCAGCTAGGGTGGACCGTTGACAATTGACTGTCGATAATCAATGATCTTAATAATAACGTGGTTTATTAATATTTGCCTTATTATCTTTTATTTTTTAATTAAAATTGATTCTAATATTTGCCTTTTTATTTCTTTCCCCTTCTTATTCAACTATGTTCTCTCTTCACCATTCTTAATTCTTATTCTTCTATTTCCTTCTCTCACAGGCAGACCACAATCCATAGTCTCCCTTAGTCACTCAATACCTTTCTTCTAAGATCTACACATTATTAAAACATTATTCTTCTACTTTCTTCTCTCAAGAGTCACATTCATAATAACTAATAAGCTAATAACTCATAAGCAGTGGCGGATCTAGATATTGAGAAGATAAATTGTTTATTGTTAGCTCATTGATTTTTTAATAAAAATATTATGGATAGAAACGAACTCGATTGTCGAGGAAGCAAAATATAACTTAACTAAGTCGGGCATGTGGAGATCAAATGGGGAAATTTGGAAAGTCTTTATCAACAAATTGTTCAACTATACTGCTTCAACCAGCATCATATTTATCGAGAAAAATGTGTGAATTTTCATTTTTCCATAACTCAATCAAAATTGATAACTTGCATTAAATTCAAAATAAATAAATTTATGCTCTGAAATATAAATTTTTAGATAAAATATTCTTGGAAAAACCTTAGGGCACACTCCAACGGTGGAGGTTGGCGTAAAAACTTGCTGCCACTGACACGCCGTCCAAACAAAACCTTTGATCGAAATTCCAATCTCCTGCCACCTTGCATGCGCAATCAATAATAATGTGTAATTATATCCCTTTCATCTCTCTTATTAGCAGCATATTGTATAAAAATGAAAATGGAAAAATTATCCTAATGTTGTCATATTCAAAATTTTGTACACACCCGCTTATCATATAAATGTGCCCTTCTTACCAACACCATATTAACCAACTTCTCACAATCGCAACAAATCTCTCTCTCTCTCTAGAAGGACAAGATAAGCTAACATACCAAAAAGAAAAAAAATAGCCTACTGGACTTCCCAGTTACCGTTACAGTCATAGACGGAGAGCTGGAGCCTAGAGACAATGGCGGTCTAGTGAAGATGGAAAGGCCAGCATCAGGCTCGCCGGCAGCAGCAGCAATTACAACGTAGTGTTCGATTGTTCATTGCCCGTTGGGTTAGTAATTGCAGCCTCGCTCACAGGAAAGAAAGAGGGTTTGCAAATTGCAAATGAAATCTGCTTTTTTAATTGGACTGTCAACTCTTTGTGGGCTCATAATTGAGATTTGGGACTCATTTTATTTAAAATATAAGAGTCACCAAAAAGGCTCAAAACTTATAGCATATTTGGTTTGAATTAAAATCATATTTTAATCTAATTCAAAGTCAAACAATCAATATTAATTATATCTTTCATAGGTCCTACAACTTTTCACCCACATTTTAAAAACTTCTATCAAAATCTACTAAAAAGTCTAATCATAATCCCTACCAAACATCCACTTAAATAAAAAAAATCCCTAAAACATCAAAGCAGTTTTCCATCTTTCTCCCACTTTTCCACCGGCTGCCTTTGTAAATTCTATTCGATGAGCCGATTAGGGGTGAATGCAATTCGGTTTGAATGGTTTGTTCTATATTTTCAACTGAAATCATTTTATGAGATTTGAAATTTTTCAAACCAGATCAAACCATTTTATTTTTCGAACCAAACCAATCCAAACCATAATTTGCGGTTTGGTTTGATTTTAATCCGCAGTTTACCTATCAACATTATAATAGTATATTTAACATAAGTTAATATATAAGTTTAAATGAGAACTAATAATGTTAAATGTTAAATTACATTCATATTTACCATAAAACCCATGAATAAATTTTTTTCAAAGTTGGTTCCTAAAAGACATTAATAGAACATATATATATTTCTTCATTTTTTATTTACGTTTTCTTATTTGACATTCATATTATCATATAGAGGTTGGTAAAAATAGAGTTACATGTTATTATAATTTGGTAAAAACCTTTTCGTTTTGCTAGTGAGATGTTGAATAATAATTGAACGGGATATATTTAGATGTACAAAGATTGATAGAGTTTCGACTTACTGAGAATTAACAAATTTCATTCTCTAACTACTTTATGAAAATAGAAAGTAGTAGTACTAGTTAGGGAATTTCAATAATTTCACACAATCAATACGAATCTAATTTACTTTCTATGATTATTTCAATAGGCTAATTGTAATTTGTATTTCTAAATTGGTATTTTTTCTGCAAAGAGAAAACTGCAAAATTTTTAAGTTAATAAAATTAATGTTTTAATAAAAAAAATTTATAAACTGTTTGGTTCGATTTTGTGCGATTTTTGGAAATCAAAATCTAAACCAAATCATTTTGAAATAGTTTTGATTTATTTGAGAAAAAAAACCACGGATCCACCTGGACCCAAACCAACGATTTCAACTTAATGATTTCGATTCAATTTGCAATTTTGCAATTTTTTTATGCAACCTAGA